TTTTTGTTTATTATTGTTATTATTATACTAATATTGGTTTTTCTCATTTATTTATGTTATTGTAAAATTAAGTTAAATAGAAGATATTCGTGCATTTGCACGAGGTATCGAACTAGTAAAACTAAAAATGGTTACCGAATGGAGTCTAACCAAACCATACCGAACCCCTTCAATAATAACACATGACCAATTGCATAGGAAAGTAAACTTGTAATGAGAAATTAATTACCAAGCTTGATGGTTGAGAAAGACAACACAAGGAGACAGCTAAATGTGGTCCAATTTTCACATGTCCATGTACTATACAGAGACCCATCAAAGTGTAGAAGAAAAGTTACCCCAAACCCCAAAACTTGCCTATAAAAGCATTCACAAGTACTTCATCATTGTAGCAAAGAGTTCACAAAGAAAAAGAAAGAAAAAAAAAAGATCAATTTTAATGAGAGAGAGAGAGAAAGGAGTGGCCATTGTGCATACAGGGAAATGGTGAGTGAGCTTGGAGATGGCAAAGGAAAAAGAAGAAAAAGAAGAAAGAAGACTCAATTCGGGGCTGTTTTTCAGTTGAATTTGTGGTACTTTGCTTCAACAATCAGCCATATCTTAAGGAAGGCCAAAGCCTTCTACAATGAGTGTTGCTGTGATGCCTATGAGGATGGGAAGATTGTTGAAGTTACTTTGGTTGATCCTTATTTCTCAATGCCTGCTTTGCCTTGTACTTCTTATTCTATGGCTAATTGTATGTAAATGAGTGATGGAACTAATGTGATCTCTCTTTCTATCGAGTTATATATGTCTAGACTCGAGAATCATTATGATTTAGTGGGCAAAAATCGTTGACATTATTGTACACTTAAATTTTTGTAAGTGAAAAAATTAGACCCCTATATATTGGAAAATTGCACCCATAAATTTTTAATGCTAAAAATAAAACTCTTCAAACATTTAAAAAAATGAGATATATTATGTAAATGCTAAAAAAATTAGCTAATTCAATCAACATTCCCTCCTTTCTCTACTTCATCGAAGATTGAAAATTTACAGGGTTCAACTCAATTTTATTAAGACGTAATTGAAGAGTTTCAAAGGATTATTTGTGACATCGGAAGCTTGCAACCGAGCGATTTCCATATTTGCGGCAGCTGCTTTGGAACAAATAGAGAGGGATTTTGGGCAAATCTTCGAAGGGGAAAGGGGAGTAGAAAAGAAACTGGGAGAATGAGAAATGACACAGACGGGGAGAGAACAATCGGCATTTGAGTGGAATAATTTTTTTTTCTTTTCTTTTTAACTTGGGGGTTTATTTATTTAGGGTATAATGTTTTCACTTATAAAAATTTGAGAGTTTAATTTTTACCATTAGTGTAATTGCAACAACACCCAAGATAGCTTTTGCAATTTAAAAGAAAAAAAAAACAAGAAGAAGAAGAAGAAGAACCCGAGCAAATATTTTTTCGATCGCCCCAATCGGACAGCTGTGATTCTGCAGCCGTAGCGGTTACGCGTCTCAGAAGACATGCTTCAGCGGTTGGACCGAACCAGGCGATGACGATTTTCTTCATCGTGGTGGGTGATAACTCAATTCACAGGATGAATTTATATTACTTGGCTGTGTGTCTGTCAAATTTTTTTCTTGGATTTTATTAAGTAATACTTTTACATATGTATGTATGTGTATATATATTTTTTAGTACAATATGTTAGGAGGAAAATTCAAACTCATAATCTCTTGATTTGAAGTATACGCTAATTATCAAGTTATGTTCCCTTTGACTATTTATATTTATTTAAGCAGAGAAAAAAAATTGCACATGCTAATTGAACCTAGGATCAAAGCTGGAAAATTGAATTTATAGCCATTATACCAAATTAAATATATTAAATATATTGGTGCTGATTTGGTTTAGATGAGATGCATCGCATGTGGGGCCATGAAAATTTCCAAACATAGCCCAACTTTAATTTGTTGATATATTTTAAATTGATTTTTGGGTATCACTTCATCGTGATTTTAGAAAATCAATTATATTTAAATCTCTTTTTTCAAAATTGATTCATTCAATCATATCTCCGAAATAATTTAAATCTAATTATTGAAATAAAAATTATTAGATTTAGTTTATATTTGATTTATCAATTATTTAAATAATTAATTTGATTTGTTTGGAGTGACGGTATAATGAGTGATTTTATGCCAAAACGAGTATAGCTCAGCAACAATTGTACTCTTGGACCAAAATCACTCCCAAACATATATTTAATATAAAATTGATAGAATTTAGAATAAAACCAAGACCTAAATTTATAAGTTTTAATATGATTTTGTGCATTAATCAAATTCAATTAGAAAAGATTTGTGTTTCAAAAAAAATTAGAAAAGATTTGTTTTTATTAAATTAGTGATTTTCTTTTTTTGTTTAAAGTAATTGGTGAACTAACGTAAATTAAATAGAAGGTTAAAATTACTACACTTATCTAATTTTAGAATTACAGATTCAAATTTATTGAAAAAACGGTCTACAAAATGAACTTAATTTAGAATTATGAATTCAAATCTATTAAAAGAAGTAAAGTAGAGTTTTTTTATTTTTAAATATGGTAGAGTTACAGGTTGAAATTTATTAAAAAAAATGATAGAGTTATGGATTAAAATTTATTAAAAGAAATGGATATAGCTTTTCAAGTTTTGAACGCAGGACGTTAAATAAGACACTAATTAAGAGTAAAGAGAGGATCAATGAGCCAAATGCTATTTAATTACTCATAAAGTAATACTTTATTATATTTAATCAAAATTTAGGGGAGCACATGGACTTTTTTTTTTCTTTAATATTACATTTTATTAAACTTATTCAAAAAAATATTCATCTACCAAACTATTTTCAAGGATAATGCTCGTAAAAATGAAATATGAGAAAGTGGAATTCAATAAATGAAGAAATAAACTTCTTAAATATAGAATTCGTGATAAAATACAAATTTTTCCGGAAAGTTCACCCTTGTATAGGTACAATACACTCAACCTTATTTAATAACCAACTTAAAACTCACCTGTCATAAATCTGAAACTTACCCTATAAAAAACAGAAAATTAAACCTAATGTTTAAATAAAGAGAGAAAAAACTAAAAATTAACTTAAATTAAAGAAAAACTCATAACTCAACACTTCCTTCGCTGTTTAAACGAAAGAAGCAGTCAGTGAAAGATCGAGGGACGAAAATCTATTCGGCGAACCGATAACTTATTCCATTGTGATTTCAAATTCAGCAGCAATGGGAAGATGATCACTTGGGTAGGTGTTATTAGGTAACCCACCAATAACCTCTGGCCATTCTGACTGTGGAAGCTCTAGAAAACTTATTGGTCTTATAGGGTCAGAAGGTGAAAAGAATATATAATCAAGAGTACCAGTGAAGCCAGGAGTGCAGTTTGTGAATGAAGGTTCAGTTCCTAGTATGGTAGAATACACGCTACAAAGGGGCAATGGAAGCTCTTCCAAGCACTCGGGCGAGTCACCCGAAACAAGGTATTGGTATACCTAAATAATTATGAGATGTAATATAAGTGTTAGGCCTCCAATAGTGAAAGTTTATGACAAGGGTAAAAAGGGAAGTGTAAGGATCTTTTTTGACATGTTAAGATGATGTTAAGGATTTTTGTACTTGTACTTTACTGTTCTCTCTCTTTCTCTTTTATTTTGGGTTCGTCCTGGATCCTTTTGGCTTGGGCATTCCTTTTTTTTAATTGTCCTCTTGTATTCTTTCTAATTATTAAAAAAAAAAATAATTATTATGTTCTAGTTTGGTCCCTATTAATATGTCATGGTCATTGAGTTTTTGCTCAACTTTATTTTTCTTCCTTCCCTATCCATCGATCCTGCCATCTCAACTTTCCACTAAAATTTAATATATAAATATACGTTAGAAACAGAAACAGAAAATATATTTCAAGGGCAGACCAAAAAAGAGCAAACTAATGGTCGAGAGCAGAGTGAGCAATTGATGAGAGGTTCTATACTAAACAAAATCATAAAAAATAATCTAAGTCCAAAGGTTGCCCTATGACTAGGTCGGGCGGGCAGTGAAGGCTCGTTTAGTAGACAGCAAGCTACAGCCTTGACGAACAGCAAGTACCACTCCCTATCAAAATGAAACATAATAATTATTTGTATAGGGTTCCTACCCCCCCTCTCTACTTGAAGAAGCGAGTCCCTGTAAGAGAAAGCCATTGCACGCTAGCCTCTTGTTTGTATAGGGTTCTAAACCTGCGCACTCCTAAACTAAAAGCTTTGAAGCCCCAACTTTTTTTTACAGGATATTTAAAGAGAACTAAACCATGTGCTTATCCCTCCTTCCTTTGTCTATATCCCATCTATAATTGCATTTCAGCCCTTGGCCATCATCATGGGATCACTTATTTTGAAAGGCCGTGACCATTTACATTTTTTTTAACTAAGAGAGAATTGGTGATTTTTGGTTTCTAATGTTCTTTATTGTTCTGGGTGCTCTAAGGAAGATCGGTGTTCATCTCTTTTGTACTTGGGTCTTTTCATGAGTGGCTTTTGGTTTCAAATGTTTTTTAATTTCTCAATCAGATTGTACTGCTTCTTGTTGAACTCGTCATTTACTATTTTTGTTTTTTCTTATTCTTCCGCTCCTTGGAGAGTTTCTACTTGAACATTTTTCATTTTCATCTAGCAAAGAAAAGTTATTTCTTACAAGACCATTTTTTCAGGACGATAAAAACATAAGCAAATGATAAATCTATCACAGATTACAAACCTTATCCCCAGGGGTTGAATTGAAATCGCCAGCCAAAAGTACTGAAGGCTTGCATTCAAACTTTTCAGACACTAACGTTCTGAATCGAGCTAGGCGTGATAAAAGATATTTGGCCTGGGCAAGCTTGACATCAGCCCATTCTGGATCCCTGTAATAAAATATCCCTTTCTTTTTCATATTGGCTGGATAAGATGTTATTCAATAGAACGTCCTAGAAGCAAATGCAGTCTTAACAAGATGAAGGAAAGAAAACTAAAAAATAAGGTACAGTTTGATAACCATTTCGTTTTTAGTTTTATGTTTTTACAGTTATGCTTGTTTTTGTACAATTTCATTAGTAAGGTTTTCACTTTTTTGAATTCCTAACTAAATTTCAAAAACAAAAAACAAGTTTTTTAAAATTACTTTTTTCGTTTCAAAATTTTGCCTAGATTTTGAAAATGTTTACAAAAAATTATATAACAGAACAAAGAAATACATATGTGGAAATAAGCTTTAATTTTCAAAAACAGAAATTCAGAAACGAAAATAGTTATCCAACGGGGACTAAAATTTTACCAGTAAAGATGGGTGTTCGCTACAATTACAATATGATGAAAAGGCTTCTTGAGTTTGAAAGCAGCCATAATTCCAACACAATCACGTTTTAGTCTCACGCGGGGATCATTAGGATCCCCATGATCCCCTGCAGTAGTTTTTGTTGATAAACCTGAATTCACGTATTTGAAGAATTAGCTACCATAGGCCAGCAAAGTTACACAGATATATAAAAAAACATATTACCAATTTTTTTTGAAAAAAAAAATTAGAAATAGAAATATACATAAATAAACCATGGATAATGCGCCTATCAATTCTAAAAACTAATCACAAAAGTTGTCTTCATCACTACCAATTTCGTAATACTAACTCTAGTAAATTTCTTCTGGAAACAAAAAGATAGGGTAGTTCTTTAAATAAATACACTAACTAATAAAAATCCAAGTGTAAAGGGAATTGGAACACACATTTTGGTGAACATTGCAATAATTGATTTTGCAGAGAACAATGTGTGGGAGTCCTAATAGGGTGATTTTTGCGAATAGCATTAATATCATAGTTAGGGGCAATACGGTAATTAGTTAGGGGTAAGTTTGTTATAAATAGAAGTAGTATGGAAAGAGGGAATGACATCTTTGGAAATAGTCTCACTAAAGGAACTCTCTCCCGAAGAACTATGTCAAGTTCCTTTACTGAGACTATTTTCAAAGATGTCTTCCCGGTCTCCCTACTACTATTTATAACAAACTTATCCCTAGCTAATTATCATAATGCCCCTAATTACAATACTAATACTATTCCCAAACTATGCCTATTAGGACTCTCACACATTGCAGTTTAAAAATAGATACTATTTAAAAACAGATGCATGCAAATATGAAACATGAAATCTGCTGTTTGGCTTGGTAAAACAGAGAGAACAAATGAAAGTAGTTGTCCTCATACATTTATCTCACACCTAGTAGTAAGGAATAGACGTGCACACTATATTCAATCTTGCATGATATATTCTCTTGCAGATTTAATGAAACAGAAATTGTAACTCAATATAAACTTCTTCCTTAGAAATATAGATGAGGCATATAACTTTTTTTCTTTCATGATTTGTCATCAACTACTTTTGATGCCATCACCTTCCTTTGAAACTCCTCAACCAGAGTAGATAAAGGTAAAATAATTATTGCTATAACAAGGAAGTTACCATTGTTTGATTCGACATCATTACTTGCACCGGTTACCACATCTTCAGACTTATCTTCACAAGAACAACCATCATCTTGTATAGAGTCTACGAGATCATTGTATTCAATTCTATCCTCTATGATCAACTCAGCACTGAAAAAATGGATGTTACATAAGATGCAGATTATATGAAGAATGTCTCTAGCATTTCAGATTTAGGAAACACATAACCCAGCAAAGATGAATCCATGGATCTAGTGCAAGAAAATACAAAATGATATGCTTAGCAGTTAGCACTTTTGCTTCATCAAATGTATACTTGGACTAATAAGTCATATTCTGGGATAGTCTATACCTGGTTTCCAATTTCACAAATTGAAAGAATTTGAATAGCTCCTCTAAAACTGATTATTGGTAATCAGCAAGCCAAGCAAAGAGAGAGAAAAACTAAGACATTGACTGGAGTACAGGTCTAAAGGTAGAAGGAAAGTGGAAATTGATTATAAAATATTACACGAGCAATCCCAAGGGGCAGCCTGGTTGGCAAGGGCTTGAGATCTCTTGGCCATACTGACTTAGAGGTCTCAATTTTGAACCTTCTGGTGAGCTTAATATCAAAATCCTTTTATGTCTCCCGGGTCTGGGCTTTGGGGTGGACGGGTACCCCTGGGTATGGGGAGCAAAACTTCGACTCGCGATTATAAAAAAGAAAATATATATATATATATATTTCACGCCCAAAAACTGGGAATAGAAGTTGTCTTTATGCTCAAAATTGGCTTTCAACTGAGTTCTTATGCCACCACAAGCAATATCTAATTTGGTTTTAAATCAAACATATGGGTAAGATGATAGTTCCTAAAATAAGAAGCTATTTTTCTTCAAGAAAGAACAAGACTAGAAAAAAAAAATATAGCATACTTTTCATGCTTGAAAAAAATTCCACATCCATCACGCTTCTGCCCACTTCTCTGGATATATAAACTGGAATATCCACATCTTTCCAAATTTCCTTTGTAAAAGCTATCATATTCATCAACTTCCTGAGCAGGTTTCACCAGAATTAAGTGCTTAATTAAAAACTTGAATTAAGGAAAAAAAGTTACGAAACAGAGGACCTATTATAATTGGAGATTTCAAGCCTTTTCCTTAGGAACAGCAAAACTTAAATTACACAAGTACACTTTGTTGTATGTACACTGTAGTCTCCAATTTCACTGCAACAATATCTTGTGAATTTGGTACAACATACAGTCTTATAAAACTTATATGCTTATGAAAACTCTTTGTCGCTTTGTTTTCTCATTGTATTGCAATCTTATTTCATAATTGAAATTGCATTATTGTTCTGGGTCCAGAAATCAGATATAGCTTCATCACATAAGTGCCCTTAGCTATTTCAGAGATAGAGAGAGGCAAACCTGTAGACAAAGAAAATCAGCCTCAAGATTCTTAAGAACAGCTAAAATTGCCAGCGACCGAGCTTTCCACCTGTACAAATCAGATGTTTAACCTACCGCAAGTTGGAAACCATGAAAGAAACCATTGATTTTTCAAGCTCTAGAATAAAATTTATCACAATTCTTACAATCCCGTCTGTTCTTGGAGATCTTATTTAACACAAACTACTGACTTTGTAAGACATGTTGTATGAAATTACTAGATTCCTCAAGGATGCATAGCACCTTTTATGGTTTCACTTTCCACCAAATCCATCTAATGTGCTTTTAGAATCGATAAAAAATAACTTCTAAGAATCGATTGATAAAAATTAGAAAATAAATAAGATATATACTTAAGGCAAGGAGATGGAGAATGTGGAAAAAAAGAACTCTTCACATAGACCTACAAAGGAATACAAAAACAATAGTCAATATGTAATCCAATATCCAATATGTTAAAACAAAAAAAGTAAGTCCAATTGAATATGCTACCCATGAAAATAACATAAAATTAATGTCCATCGACTGTCTTTGGATTCATTCATATGCTACAAAAGATGGACTTTTAGACATTCCCACAAGACTTTAAAACTAACATTAATTTCTTTGACTATGCCAAGAAAACATATCAACCTTATATATGGTTTTCACTTTTTATCAAAAGTAGAGTTCAAAATCATCAAGAAGTATGAATTATATTCAAAAAATTTTATAGTATTAACAAATGCATAAAAATAAAAATAAATTTGCTTGAAAACGCAAAGAACTAACATTATGAAATAAAACAATATGTTTAGCTAATATGATGTTCTTTTTCATTGTGGCAAGAGCAATCCACTTCTGCTTATGTATTGCTGGGACAAGATAATTTAATAAACAGCAATATTGGAGGGCGAGAAGCATATTATTAAACTTGGGAATAAAAAATGAAATGAATCAAAAAGTACTGCCTACCTGGGCCAAAATATTGTAAGAAACTAAACGAAATCTGATCCCTGCAGTAGCAATATAGAAATGTCGTGCTTAGATGATAAGTGAAGTCATATGAAACACCTAAAATGTTTATCAATTTTTAGTAATAAGAGAGTCTGAAAGTTCTTCTAAAAATTTGCTCTTCAAGAAATATACATATCAACTGTTTCTCTCAAAAAGTAGTGGTATAGAAAATGTGTTAAACCAGAAAAATCTATTGATGTGCACTGTTTTTTTTTTTATCTCTTTGATATTTGTCTAGACCAACTTACACGCACCTCAACTAATCTTATCGGACAACCATTTTGCCCTACGATATTTAGTTGCCAAGATAGTTCATATGATATTAAATTCTAGATAGGTGCCTCACCATAGTTTTATGTACATTGGCCATTATCGGCCACTACCCAGCCACAATGCTTCTATTTATGTGCACTCTTGAATCTAAAGATAAGATCACGCGGGAAAAAACATACCATCAGGTTTACTTCTTGAGTAAATGTCAGCCCCTTCCACAGAAATAAACTTGGGATATTTAGGTGATTGAACTGTACTCATGTTGTGTACGATTTGTCTGCCAGTAATTAAACATAAGGAGACGATAAATGAGCCAAAGCGAACAACAACTCAAAACAGTTACAATAAAAGCATCTAAAACACTAATCACAACATTTTCAAATCATGGATTGTTTTGTTCCAGGTTCTGGTTAATTTGCTAAAGGAAACTCGGTCTCGAAAATTTAACGACACTGTTCCTGATTCAATAAAGATACAATTCCGCTTGACCAGCACAATTCAATCAAAACTAACATCAGAACAACTTCAGAAGTAGTAGTCTCACTCTATCATTCCACTTTCACTCTCTCCGCGTCCTTGAACCAAAAATCACAAGTACACGCAAGCGGAACATAATTCTTTTCGTCATATACTCAAAAACTCTCTAGCGCAAATACAAAATCTACCAAGTTAAGCTCCTGGAGAACCTCTTATCGGTAGCGGAAGGATTCAAGAATAAAACATGAATGAACTCACTTCCAAAACATAATCCGAAAATAAAATGGAGCTTCAACGAGAGAGAGAGATCCAATTACCTTGTTAGGGAGCGAATGGGAAGCTGAGGGAGAGTGAGGTAAGGTGCGAGCATAATCGTTCGGGTTCAAGTTCTTAAAATGGCGAATATATTATGCAAAATGGATACGGCGGTGGCGGCAGTTGAAACAAGAACAGGTTCCGTTCTCTATTTATATGGAACAGTAAAAAGCGCTGGTGAAAATCAGAGCCGCAGTTCATTTTATCGGGCGAACCTGAGCGATTTAGTTACTGGTTGTAAATATCTGACACGTCCATCGCGATATTTACATAAAAAAAACGATAAAATATAAAAAATATCAATAAAATATTATTAATATAAACATAAACATAATATTAATATTAATTATTTTAAACTAATTTAGAAATAGAAAAATGTTTATTTGTTAATTTAAATATTTTTTATGATTTTTTAATTTTTCTAACCTTATCAGAAATATTTATCGACATCGATATTTTATCGATATTTCCATTAAATTGAGATCTCGATATTTCCATCGACATCAATATTTAAAACCTTGCTTATGGCATCTTTAAATTTCCACTCACTTCTTGTATTAAAAAAATAAATCAATCAATCTGTTAACATAACATAGTTCAATGGTAATTGTAGTGTAATTCTTCTCTTGAAGTTGAGGTTGGATTCCATGTATCCCCAAAGTTGTACTAAAAGAAGGCCACCAAAGTCTCGTTTGGTAACGTTCTCATTTCTTGTTTCCTTGTTCTTGTTTCTCATTTTTCGAGAAACAAACATGTTTGGTAACCAATCTCGTTTTTCGTTTCTAAATTTTGAGAAACGTTCCTAAAGGAGGGATAAATTTTTGGAAACTATAAAAAGTAGTTTCGTTTTTGTCGTTTCTATTTCTTTATTTTGTGTCCAATTGAAGTTAAATAATATATTTGTCACAAATTTCAATAAAACCAACAATGACCTGGGTGCGCATATGATCTAAATTGAATGTGAGGTACAGGGTTTAATCCCGGATGCAAAATACTATTTTTTCTGTTTCTTTTTTTATATTTTATATTTTTTAGTCTAAAATGTTTTCAAAATTTATTTTTGATTTAAAACCATTGAATTTTCTTAAAAAAAATTATATTTTTAAATTAAAAATATTTAAAAATTTTATTCTCTGTTTAAACTAATAATTTAAACTTTTATATCAGTTTATATTGTAAATTATATTTTTAATAAACTATAAATTTGTTTTTTTATTTTTATATAGTATTAGTAACCTTTTTTAATTTTATACAAATATAATGCTTAAAAGCAACCTGAGATGAAATAAAATAAAAAATACTACTGTGAGGAAAAAGATAATTTAGGTAAAATATAAAATGGGTAAAATATATTTTAGTCACTGAGTTTTAAAATAAATTTTTATTTGGTCTATAAATTTCAAAAAGTGACAATTTGATTTTAATTCTTTAAAAAATAATTCTAAAAATTCCTAAAATCAAACTTCAGTTTGAATCAATGACTCGATGCTTTATTGGATTGCAATGAACGTTATGAACAAGCAAATATTGGGAAGCAAAGTAGCATATGATCTAACTTTTTAAAATTAGATTGTGTTTAAACTTTAAATGTTTAATTAGTTAAATCAATTTTTTTAAATTAGATTTTTTTTAGATTTTCTTAGATTTTTTAGTAAATTTAATAAAAAATATGCTTTCTTAAAAAAAAAACAATTTTTTAATGGTTTGTTTTAAGATTTTGTTAGGTTTTTAAAGTTATATTTAATTTAAAGGTTGTTTGTTTTCTTAAATCTTGGACTACCACATGTAGGTAAGGAGATTTAAAAAAAAAATTATCTCTTAATTTAGGGAAAAAAAGTTAATTGGTATATGTCATTTCTTCCAAAGACAACATTCAGCACCACATAACTAGATCGTCTCTTCAAGAGACAACAAAAAATTCCATTATTCTTCAAAGAATTTTGCAAACCATCACTAAAAGATATATTAAATAAATTATTTTTTAGTATAATACAACACATTAGAGTGGAGATTCGAATTTAGTCGAAAATAGAGGCGTTTAAGTAGGTTGCCTATATTAAATAAATTCTAGATTACTTTCTTCCCGTTAGAATAATATCCAACAAAATAACAAAAATATACTCTCCATTGTTTGTTTTTTCTTTTTACCAAGACAACTCTATCAAATCTTACATTACAGAACCATATGCAATAAGTGGATAAATAAAGAAAAAGGCTGCCTGTTCTTCGATTAAGCCTTTCATTTATCTCTGAGAATCACAGTAATGAGGAAATTTGCACCGGCAAGGGTCAGTTCTCACCTACAAGAAGATATTAAAATATATATATATATAGATATATATATCATGGAAAGGTGTGTGAGATAAGATGAAATATTTTCAGACCATAGAAAATACTAGAATTTTTTTGTCACTACAAGTCGAAGCAAATGAGTTGCAATTTGTTAAAAAATATAGTTATTTGCAATATTCTGCAAGTTTTCAAGGCAAAGGATTAAGATTTTCGAGAGTGTCTGAGGCAGCTTACACACATCGACTAATGTTACGGGACAACTACTGACCCTACTATATTTGGTTGTCAAGGTAACTCATAGGATATTAAATCTTAGGTGGCTACCATAGTCTGAACCCATTCCTATAAACCCTATACTATTTACCTTGTACTTATTGACCGCTAGTCAAATGCATCCAGTTCCATTATCATCAAGGCATCAACAGTCTTCAATGTTATAAAGCAGTAGGGCCAAACAAGCATTTTCAAATGCATTTCAAAATAAGAAGTCTCTTGATCCCTCAAGAAAGAGGGGACAAGAGGTATCGCCCGAGTGAAGCGTGAAACTTGCATAATCAAAAAACCGTGCATAGAGAAAGTAATCACGGGTGCAAGAAAGAAAATGGCGAAAGAAAGATTCAGGGTGAAGAAAGAAGGCAATGGAAAGAAGAAAAATCCCTTTAAAAGACATTTGAGTTTGAAAAGTTTGAGGTGCAGCCCAGAGCTGAAAAACTTTTCCTTCTGTTTTTTTTTACGAAACTTTTCATTGAAATAATGAAAAAGAGACAAATGCTGAAAGCGAAGCCCAAGTTTATATACTCTGTGTGGCTATGTCTGATTTGTAGATCTGTAACCTAGAAGTTATTGTATATCCTAAGAGATGAGTTTCAAAAACCTCTATGAGCCAAAACACCTCCTCCTCCTTCAGGACCAAAATATATCGGTTGTGCAAGAAGATGTTAATCTCAAAGGAGATTGGGCATTAAAACTCACTAATAGAAGCAGTTATGGTTGACTCTAAAGGCATGAGAGGGAGGGAAAGAATATAAGCAATAAATGTACTGACCTTGCGAAAAGTGAAAGAAACTCTCCTTGGACCCCTTCTAATTGCACTGTCCTTCACCATGTCAATCTACAACAAGATATTTACCCAAGTTAACTTCAAAAATGAGAATAGCACGCTCAAAGTAAGTGTCATTTAACAAAACACGTACGCCTTCTTTGACAACCATTTTATTTTTTATTTTCTATTTTTGAAATTTTAGCTTATTAATACTATTTTATTTCGTTGTTTTGTTATCTACTTTTAAAAATCGTTTTAATGATAGGGAAAAGAAGTCTCTAAAAGTTTTTTTTATTTTGCTAAGAGTCTAGGTGGGTTTTTAATAAAGTTGAAAACACACCAAAGAAATTGTGGAGATGTAAAACATAATTATAAAAGTATACAACTAAAAACGAAATAGTTATCGAAGGGACCATAAGTTGACAGTTATTTTCATTCAAAAGCTAGGTGATGAGGTTAATCAAACATTTAAATATTTTTTTTAACCACTGCGGGTGCTTGGTTAGCACCTTGATGCACCAAAAATATATGTTTATACCCATGGGTTTCCAGACTGATTTGCCCACACAACAACTACAACAATCCAACAAGACTACCGTTTAATCCTCCGACATTTCAAAACTCTGAGGATATTAATATCATTAGTAGATGAATATCAAAATATAGTTAATTCATACCATTGGGCCCAACTACTTGAAAATGAACTACTAGACCAATTCATAGTCATTAACATGAATAAATGGATAACTTTACAAATTTTGTAAATCAGCCGCACTAAAGCAGGAACTGTTCATATAGTTTCTGATGATACCTTGTGGTGAGGAATGTAATGATGCCAAGCGTAGCGTGCCTCTCCCGACAGTAGAAGCATAGACCGAGGTGGAAGGTAAATCGCTCTCCTCAGATAACTAGAGTCGTACACCGAATTTTCGGGTTCTATACTTGAAGGGCATTTGTGCCAAACGCCTTCAGGATACCTCCTGAACTCCATAATGCATGGCCCTGCTAAGGAAAGGCTGAAAATTAATCCCTCAAATGCAGAATGGGTGTCTATATGAGGGGACAAACCCACCCCTGGTGGGTATTCATTAACCTGTAATGTGGTATTCATTTCAGTCTTATACTAAACACATATCCGAAAATCGTAAACACATACAATAAAGTTCTCATTTTCATTAAATTCCTTGCTTTCAAATTCTTGTTTTCATATTACCAACTAAACGCATCCCAACCGACTATATGCAACAAAGTTAAGAGTAATTCACTAGAAACGGATTGCCTACCGTCAATTGGTCAAGAGCAGCATCTGCAGCATCCTCAGTGTTTGGAAACATGGAGATCCTTTCAAGTATGTGGGAGACAAATGAAGGAAGTGGACCCAACTTTAGTCTAGTATTAACATTTCTCGTCTACAAAGAAAAACCAGGCACAAACAAAACCAAGTGACTTTCAGTACTCGTGAGTCCTCACATTGCACAAACATCCAATAGGAAAAAGTTAAAGGTCCATCTGGTAAAGGTAACGTACCCGTTACTTATTTCTCGTTTCTAATTTTATTAAAAAATCTATGCATTTGACAACTATATTTATATTCATTGTTTCTCATTTTTTAGGAACATCCTCGAAATTGTATAGAAACTTTGGAAACAACACAAACATGTTTCTTGTTTCTTATTTCGGTTACCAATTTGTTCTGACATAATAAAAATCAGGTTTTATCATTCTTGAACACAAATTTGGAAACACCAACTTTCTTGTCCGGTTTTCAATTTATTCTGTTTTATCATTCTTAAATCTATATGTGTTAAGGGTAATGCAATTCTAGTTTACTTTAAGAAAAAAAGAAGAACATAAATAAGAAACGAGAACATTTGCTGCCCCAAAAAGTTCTGCAACTTACTTGATAACAAAACTCATACCCATAATGCTGAACCCTTCGTTTGGCCAGACAATTCCAAGGCCTAGCATCAACTTCCAGAAGCAATTCCTGAAGAAACACAAAAACTCAATAACAATGAAATAGATTAAAAAAAAAAAGGTTAAATCCTTCTCAAGTTCTCACCTCCTCTTCTCTAGCAGTGACGAAATCGTGCAATAAGTAAAGTCCGGGAATGTCCAACTCCGAAGCCGATAAAGATACCGAAACTGAGTCATTGAGCGGCGAAACGGTCGGTCTGATGATGGAATAGCGTATGTGCAAAGTCCGGCCACCGAGGAGAGAACAAGGGCGTCCGTGTAAGGCCTCTAGAGCGGCTCGAGCACTGAACTCGTCGGAAAAACATACAATGACGCGGGCGCCGCTCTCGTCGGCGGCGTGCACAGCTTTCACATCCCCAAATTGGCCGAAAACCTCCGAAATTGAGGCGTGGGTGATTCCGACGGCCGGTCCACAGTTCGCAACGTAGAGATTGGGGCTAGAAGATCCATCTGCTTCTCTCGGACGCCCGAATCTTGTCAATGGCAACTCCATTTACGGCGGGAAGGGAAAATTTCGGAGAATGAAGCAATATGCACACAGCACACCGATTTGATTGCAGCAAAAAAGTCCGCGGGTGAATGTGATTTTGGGCTTTCAGTATTCAAGTTCTTTTTTTTTTACTAACTTATGTAAAATACTATGAGGTTAGCTACAAAATTTTGAAATGTAAAGGGTATAACTGAAATGCTAAAAATATATATATATATATAATTAATTTTTGTTTTATTTAAAAGAAACATTTAAATTTCTTTTTTTCTTCTTTTTTTCAAAGTAGAAAATTTGTCTTACTTTTACCTTTGTTTTTATTTTAATTCCAATTTGGTATTTAAAATGATTTACTAGTTTATCTATCTTAAATTATTATTAATCTTGCAAATTACATAAATTTAAAGTTTTAAAACCACCTCTCAACAAGTTATATACATAGAATTTATCATAATGGTATTTTTTTTAGTATAACACACCGAGGATTCGAACTCACGACATTATAGTCAAAGATAGATATCTAAAACATACACTAATATTTGACCATTGAAATTATATTTAAAAAGTATTTTAAATTATTTTCTAGTTTAAGAGTTAAAAATTTGATTTCTATCCCGACTACAACTCCACCACCCCACTTGTAATGCTTCTACAGAACTGCTTTTATTGAAATCACTTCTATGAGTTGTTAAACACACTATTGTTTGATTTTAACATTTCAAAAAATACTCATTATCTAATTAAAAGAATGTTTTAAATTAATTAATAATGATTTGATAAATATTTTCAGAATATGCAAATCATTAACAAGAAAATAGCAAAAAATATTTTTTAAAAAATTACTAAGATTAAAACAATTAAAATTTAAAAAAGGAAATTAGGAGTAAATATGTATGTATGTTATAGAGAGTTAACTATAAATATACTGCTTTTTAAACTTTACCGTCAATATACAATGAGTTCACAAAATATGCTTTCTGATTCCCATAGGAACAAAAATTTCCTCATAAGGCTATGGTGAGTTTCCAGGGGAGACACTCCTACAAACCTCTCTACCAATGCACCATGCTCGGTCCTTGCTCGGAGTTAAGGTCGGAGAGTTTCCTTCAACTTTTTTGGATGACAATGTCATATCGGGACTGTTCGAGTGACCGATAAGCGGCTGCCATGTATGGAGAGCAGCCATTGAATCATTAGGATTGTTCAACAGACTCATCCCTGGAAAACAACATGTTGGTGCAGGTGAATTGGGGTTGCACATAGCATCCTCTTGCAGAACATCTCCAATTCTAGACAATATGCTATAGGCCAAGTTCCCAAGAACCCGCGAATATGCTTCGAGAAGCGAATGCCCGACATCCTATGAAATTGAAAGGGAAACTGATGAGATTTTTGCTTTAGTATGACATTGTCAGCAATGACAGAACTCTCTACAGTCTACACTAGCATGGTTTATCAAGGTTAGAAAGTCTATATACATGAAATATTAGAATTCTATCTATATAATGGCACTGCTGTTTGTTCCTGAAAAGGAAATGGATCTGCTCAGAGTTCAATCCACATTCTCATATTTTCCTTTTTTCTTCTCATAACAGAATCGAAAAACCAGTTTTCATTGAGGAAGGTGAAGGAATACAAAAGGACATACAAAACCAAATTGGCAAAGAGATGGATAAAATCGTAGGATATTATGACTTCTTATCAGAATCGAACGCCGTCTCGGAGAAGATCTCCACATGAAATTATAATGCAATGCCATAATCTACCCGCCTAATAACACCACCATCCCCAACCAGGTGAAAAGAAAAGAGAATCGTACTTTATTTTAGATAGGAAGCAAAGGCAATGTAATATAGTAGAACAGAATAACATGAGATGATGATCATACCTTCCCATATTGTACTTTACTAACATCAAGAAATGTTTGGGGATGATTTGGCCATTTCGATTTCAGAAGCTGAAGAAGAACCTCGGCTCGATCAGAGAGTAACTTCAACTTATCCATCTCGGCCATTGAATCCTTGACAAAAGGCCAAGAAGTTCGAACTGGAGATTTACTGCCACTTTGTTCAGTGTATTTCTCTTTCAAGGAGAATATTGTTGCTTCCAAGCGGTTAATGGCCTCAAGAGCTCCATGGTCCGATTTCAAATTAAGCTGATTCAGCATTTTCTCGGCTGGACCAGATTCTGATGTCAAAATCTTGTATAATTCTTCACTGAGGTTTGCCTTTCCAGACTGTACAGTTCATGATAACTAAAACAGTTACAAGACATAAACTTTTGGATTACCGGATTCTAAAGCCATTACCTAAATAACATATTACATATTACCCACAAAATTCTTCATTTTTAAGTATTGTAAAAATTCATAGATCTCATCTGAAAGCTCATAAAAGATTCATCAACTTTATTTTAGAAAATTTTTGATCATTTTTTGCCATGGTCAGGGAACAAGATCTGGCAGATTCTTATCTGCCACCATCTGAAGTGTGCACGCTTCTTACTCAAAGTCCACTATAACAAAATTTAGTCATTCTCCTCATCTTATTATGTAGAAATTTGTTTGAATTAGAATAAAATTAAGCTGTAAACACAACAAAGTTTGCTCACTATAAATAAAATAAACCTGGATAGACTTCTTTTGTTTCCATAAGAGACATTTCATTGACTTAAAATACTTCTAAAGACTCTGTTCTTAAATATATTATATAACATCCTGCACTATGGTCTTGCTTAACATAAAAAGTTATGCATGGTTCTTAGCTAATAGAGTCGATTCAGGAAAGGATCGTATAAGGGAATAGAGAATGCTCACAGTTCGGATTGCCTCCCTTATAACAGTTGGCACAGGCATTTCGCGCAAAATACTTTCGTTTATGGATTTGGCAGCTTTGAATACTTGATGCACAACCCGGCCATGGTAGAGCAGTTTCTTCCTCTCATTCTCAGATAGCCCAGTTGATGTCACTTGGGGTAATGGAAGCCACCATCTCGTGCTTTGGCCCATACTCTTGTTTCTTCCTTCAGCCCTGCTACCTACTTCTGTATACCAAAACTCGGTCTTTACCATTGAATCCAGTGTTCCCTGTAATAAAAGAAAACAGCAAATAATTAGGAATGGTTAATTAAAAGGAAAATTAGAAAATATGGATGGTAAAAATGCCACCTACAATTAACATGGAGTCTAACTTCTGGAGAGCTGGAAGGTTCATGTGGATGTCTCCCCGAACCTTTGGGGTCATTATCTGCAGAAATTTTGTGCATAAAATCTTATTAACATTCATTTCAAAATCACGTTTCACAGTTCTGGTTGCAGCAAAATCACAACTAACCTCCATCACTCTACCGCTAGTTCCATTTTGCTTAGAAGGAACCAATTCCACCATATAGTGGGTAGGAGAGAGCAACCAGTCCATCTCCTTTCTCCATTTACTCTTCTTCTCTTCAGAAAGAGGTTCCAATTTCCATAACTCTCCAAAAATCGAAGCTGCAGAAATCTTAACAGTCATTTCAAGGTCCAAACTGGGAAATGAATGACAAGTACACAAGATATTTAAACAACAGGGTCCATATGATTAATAAAAAATTCAATTTCTTGTATACCCGCTAGGTTTGTGATGGCATTAGACAGTGACAAGGCAGAGCTGAGTCCTTTCTGTCCTCCTGTAACATCTTCACCCAGCAATAGTTTTGTGAACTTTTCTTTCATTGCTTCCACGTCTGAAACCTGAACGGTGTAAGCAGGTTTCTCTTTCTTATAAAAATGCTGAGGGCTTTCTGGTAGTTCCCATTCATCCAAATCCTGCTCGTCTCTATGTATTCCCAACCATTTTGAGGAGAAAGATCCACAAGCATCCTTGCTAGAGGAACAACTTGAATCATGATCCTCCAATGAGTCAGTTGTACATTCATCTGCTCTGCTCGATCTGCTTTCATTTTAATAGGTCTGATTGTTTAAAACGCAACTCTCCAGGCCATTAAAAGTCATAATCCCTGAATCCCACGGAAAAATTATTTGTGAATAATAACTTTAGGTTTTCTTACATTTAAGAAAACAAAAAAAAGCAAGCAATCAAGTGGAGGTTGAAGCTTTAACGTCTGGTTGAGTTATTCATAAAAAAAATATAAAAGATGAAGGCCCGAAGCAGTATGTTTTTAACTGCTTATGCTTGTAATTATAAGTATGGAGACGTAAAACTCTGATACTGAATCGTTGGCTGGTCCTCCTTAGGAATATGAACAGGCTTCCAAGAAAATTTGATTTGGCTTCCAAAACCTACCATTTTTTCAAAACCTTACATATTGCCACCATAATCCATGATTTGAACTCATTCCCTCTCACTCAATAATCACGAATCAAAGCCTATTAGTTTAAGGATCATTCTTTTCATCGTTGATAGTTCCATTACATGATTGAAAAATGGATATAGGATCATTTTGATATCCAATGTTCTTCACTTCTTGCAGTTGCAGATAACATAGGTTACGAGGGAAATCAAACCAAAGGGTCAAATACTAAAATTGAGTTAAGGACCTGAGTTGCTGCAATTAAGGATTAGTTAACGGGCACAATCTTCAAAAGAATTTCAAGTGGATTTTGATAGTAACATATCCTTCTTTCTCAAGTCATCATTTTGTTCTCCTGGCCATTACCATTTCTACCAATTGAAAAACAAGGAGAAACGACAAAAGACAAGTCGTCCCACTGTTCTGAAAAAGTTGAATAAGATGTCTGTTCGAAATTTGTTCCTATTCGTTGAATAGGTACAAAAGGCACATGCAAATGCAAAGGCTATAAGAATAATCTGGACATATAATTGCGAGCGATGATTTCACACCATTTACACAAACAATAGAACAAATTTGATCGACAAAATTTAACTATTCATATTGATTCTGGGCGATGGGTTTCAGTTTTATTAGAAAATATACGGCCCAAACGAAAGGAGAAGCTTCCCCAATTATTGTTATTTGGACCAAAGTCAGATACTACTTCCAAGAAAGAAGAAGACATCCAGAACTACTCAAAAGCCAACTGGCTCAAGATACACCGCAAAGTTTGTCTGTCTTTTCTGGCAAATTGGATATTTGCCAGAAGGCATGTGTTTGGGTAGTTTTTACCTAAAAAATGTAAAAACCAGAACACAAATTATGGAGAGAGGCGGATGAAAGGAACGGAAATTAGAGGGCTGAGTTTGTCCTTTTCGTTTGGCATGTTGGAAGCTAATGCATACCTAGAATTTTAAATCAATTGCCCAGGGCGCATAATAAGGCATACAGCCAGACTTTCCTCAACTGTGTAATGTCCCCACTTCCATCTTCTATGTCTCCCTAAGCCAAATTTACTAAATTATTAATTGGAAATGTACCACCCACTTCACCAATTACCTCGAGCAAGGCAATGAGATTTCCACAGATTTCGTCCCAAATGTCGTATAATAAATAATATATTCGATGTCAAATATAAAAATAATATAATATATTCTATTCAATTTTGAATTTAAACCGCGTCCAAGATTCGAGCCATCCGTGGAAAGCTAATATAATGGGGAGGCCAGGAAATATCAAGTCACGGATTTCTCACCCGGACACATCATCCATGTGCTTTGCACAAACAAAGTCACATGGACCAAGACCTGTACTATTTATAATAGAGCCTGGAGGGGAAACTTAGAATCTACAGCAGAACCAAAAGATTTAAAACTTTTTGCACGATTTATTTAATCCATGCTCAAAAGAACCATGGTTTCAAGAAAACATTATTTTGAGGGGAAAAAAATAAGGGAGGAAAGTTTATATAAAAAATTAAACTTACATACTTTAGTTTACTTAAATCCCTTGGCTCGTGATGTCTTAATAATTATATAACCACCCATATAAATTATTGAATCAGAATTAGAATCACATGATCAACATTTCAACAAGGATATACCAACCTAAGCATAGCTTAACCGGTTAAGGCATATATTTCAAACAAATAGATTTAAATCCTCACCCCACAAGTTCTTGTACTAAAAAAATGAGGTATGAACAAAAATAAAACAAGCATGAGACATAATACGACATGACATTTATCACTATCTTCTCCTCACGGCCCATGAGATTTTATCAAATGAATTAGTATATTTTCTCCATCTTGTTTAGTTCCTGTAAGTTTCTGGGTTTTCGTGCATTTATTTTTAGTTTACAATATAAGTATAATTTTCTTAAAAAAAAAAGGTACAACCAAGATTAAGTATAGAATTATCCGCACTTTTTCATCATTTACTCCGCTAAAATTCCCCATAGATGCCCTCAGTGCACCCTTTCATACCACCTCTCACATGACCTAAACATGTCTGAAATTTAAAAAATAATAAACCAGACAGACACTCTAAATCACATAACGATCTAACAAACGCCCATAACCTGTCCAAGTATATCAATGTCCGACAGCTCAAAGTGGTATATCCACGATTCCTTGGTGGTACTATTTATTATCAAATTTGAAATTTTATCTATATATAATTTCAAATTCAGATGATGGGCCCAAAATTAAATGCAGCAACAAAATAAAGCCCCTCTTTAAGTATTTCTCCCACCCAACACAACCCCAACCATAAGGGTCGTAGCTCAATTGCATATATCCTAGATCAAAAGTCAGAGGTTAGTATTCCCACCCTATGTGTGAACTCAAAAAATAAATATAATAAATATAAATATAAAAAATAGCCCCCAACATTCTATTTATAGCATAGCACCACAAACCCAACACCATTCCGTTTTGGACTTCCAACAGTACAATAAATAGTGGGTTCAGATCATAAATGAAGGCACCAGAATTTGCACGGAACTAATAATGGGTCTGGTCATGCTAACAAGAGATGGGGGAACACTTGGTAGTAATATCTGCCTTCTACACCTACTACTCCTTTTCACAAGATCTGACGCTTTGGACCCATCGTTTTCCTCGAGCCCCCTTAATTTTGTTTACCAAACCCTAACAAACACGTTCTTTACCCTCTACCTGGACCACTATCATTGCCCCCTTTCTTTTCAAAATTCACCCATAAGGCCATAACCTCTCTTAGCAATAAATAAATACGAAGGAAGAAGAAAAAAAAAACCTTCATAGCATGTTGACGTGGTGAGTGTATTTCAAACTGATATAGCTAGTCAAACCATGTATTAGTAAAAAATGCGCCAGTGGCATGTGGAGTTATTCCTAATTTTTCAAATTCAAAATCTATGGTAGTAACTTTTTGAATTGATAACGTGAGATTTATATTAATTCAACATAAAGCTACGTCAGAAACTTTTAAATATTATCCTAAAATCAAGTATAAGCCCAAAAAAAAAATAATAATAATAATTGAGTGCTTTTCAAAAAAGGATAGGCGAATGCTACTAGTGCTTAAAATAGTTAAGGGAAGTTCAGGCTTACTCTCTTGCTCGTCCATGTCCAGGCTGACCGCTCGGTCCCTTGAGCAGCAAGCCAGTCTTCTCCGCATCGACATCATCTTGTTATCTTCTCTGGAAACTTGGGGCTATGCTATGGAAATATAATTGATCAAAATCAATTGAGGCTTGCAGCTGACAATGTGACAAACAGGCCGATCAGCATGAGCCCACTGCATAATTATCGATAAAGAATTAGTCCTTACAGGTAGAGTTAGGGAAAAAGAACATGAAACGAGTCACCGATTTGAAGTGAAAAAATGTCCATGCTTAGAATAGCGTAGAAATTTTAATTACTCAAACTCATCTTGAAATCCCGTTGATGTTTCAGCTATATCTGTATGATTAGTATTTGATTGGCGTTTAAAATAAGATCAGGAAAACGAAAAGGTCAACAGGACCAAAAAAGTAAAAGAAATATAAAGGGAAAAGGGGGGAAAGGGGGGAAAGGATTATATGAATTTTTTGGGTCCAGAGAAACTGGTGGAAAATGGACTTTGGCACTTTACCATCATAATTTAAAGCAAAAACAATTGGAAAACCAGTTCTCAAAAGTTGCATTAAGGAAACTTAAGGAGAAAAATCAGAAAAAAGCACACAAGATTGGGGACCGAGAAAGGTCGCGAACTTCAAAGACTTACTGTGCAGCTGCCAGTAAATCTCAAACGAAACAAGAACACAAATGCTTTCCCCTCACCAATCTCTCATCGATTTCCGTAGCTCATGAAACAAATTATTCAGGAAAAACGCAACACGGTGGAGCAAACTTCAAACAAAACAATCCTAGTGAACCGTGAAGTTACAGAACACAGAAACGATCAAATTGAGAGAAAAATCTCGAATCAGCCAGCCCTAGGATCTAGCGCAAATGAGGTAAAAATGCAAAAGTAAAACCAAGCAACCTGAGACTGGATTCCACGGCGGAGCCAGAGCAGCATCTCTCTACAAAAAACACATTNAAAAAACACATTCTGATCAAAAGTTGCAGCACCGGAACAAGAAGAAAACGATAGTACGGACCGAGCCCTAGGAGAATAAATACGCTGCCATCGCCGAGCTTCGGGACAGTGAAAATGGCGGACGGATTTTGGACCAGGAGAGAGGGAAGAAGGAGAAGAAAAAGAGTCGCGTATTTAGAGAGAGAAAGAGAGAGGGAAATGACGTGAAAGTTACGTACGGTCTTGGCGCGTGTGACGACGTTTGGAGCATGTCGAGTTGGGCTCCGCGTTTGGAGTTCACGCCTTCGTACGTGGCAGTTGAAAATCCAGCTGGGCTTAAAAAGTGGGACCCGCGATAACTAATGGACGGGGCCCGAGTCCTATTATTGGATCCGTTTTGGCGGTTTCCTTTTCCTCTTTCTTTTTCAAACATTATTTCATTTTAATTTTCTTTTCAATTATTATAATCTAAATCGTTTTCCTGATTATAAATTTCGTAAAAACCAATTGTTGTTTGCTTCCCTCATTATGCTAATTATCTTATTATTATATGCTAAAAAAATGTCACAAAAAACTTAATACACTCATTTGATTTCAACTTCAAACTTTACTTAAATATTTTCTAATTTTATTTTGCTTCCGTCCTTATAATTTTAAATATCCCATTTTACTTTCTTGGAGTTTTAGGCTAATTTTATAAAAATATATACATTAATATAAATTTTATCTTATCCTATCTTGGAAATGTGTCTCAAACAATAATTTATAATCAATAACGGATTAAATTTTTTACTTAAAACTCTGTTAGTTTTATTTTGTTTCCATCTTTTGTCATTTTAAATATTCTATTTTAGCTTCATTAATTTCTCACTTACTAGTTTTTTTTAATGATAACTTTAGTTATTGGTACAACGTGGATGGGGATTTGAACTCACACTCTCTTGATTGGAGATATGTGTCAATTATCGTTGAACTATGTTCGTTTTCGCATATTTAATAATTTATAACTTTATTTACTCGTTATCACTTTAATTATTGTAGCATATTTAATAGAATTAACAAAATGTAAGAATATATTTTAAGTCACGAGTATATTTAAAAATACACCATGAGAATTTTATTTCGAATAAAAATAATAATGTGTAATATTAATGACTGCTATATAATTTTATAAATACATGGAGAAGATTTTAAATTATATCGAGAAAAAATAATTTAATTCACAACATTTGTAATTTTATTTTATTTCACATGTAATAAATTGAAGTAATAGTAGGTGATGTATTCTTAACCGAAATGGAAATTAATTTACTTTTCATTTGTGATTGTGAAATAACAATGCAGCAATAGACTCTTTGGGTCCATTTCATTTACACTCGTCTAGCCTTAACATTGAATCCTATCCCCTTCATGTACTGCACTACTAGTAATTTGAATTCAAATTGTTTTTTTTTTATTAAATTGTTTTAGGAAATCTTTTCAAAATAAATTTTCTATTTTTGTTATTAAAAGTAGGAGGGAATAAAATCACTATTAAAAGTTAATGCGATTATTTTAGAACAACAAACTCACGATTTCGTGGGAAGAAAATGTTTTGGCAATGAAAATACAATTTTTTATTTAATAATTCTTGTCACAATTCTCCCATAAAGTTCGAGATGTTTTTGTTTAGTCCTTTCATTTAAAAGGAAAAAAAAAAGAATAACTWTTTTAGTTGATGTTATTTTAAATTTACTTTTTCAACAAGCGCCAAAGAATGGAGCTCACTGCGATGAATTACTAGTAGGAGTTTTTTTTTTTTTTAGAACCACATAGCGGTCGAGACTGAAAGTTGGTTGGGTTGGATATTTAGAGGTGTGAGTATTGTGTTTCAAATATGGTTTGATTTGATGATAAAATAATTATTATTATAATAAGAGTCTCAATTACATATACATTAACTATAATTGATTCTAGACCATAAGAAAATAAAAGGAAATTGACACTAGGAACAAGGACTAAAATGACTATCCATCGTTTGATTTTGATGTCAGTGCAAGTGATCTATCTATGATGTTGAAGTTGACTCACTCATGCTAATCATCTTAGAATTACGAGTCATAACAATGTTCACCAACTATTTTCAAAACTGTTCACAACAACAGAAACCTATCTTTCTCTAGATTCATCGTAGCTCCCAACAAGAAATAGAATGGAAGAATTGGGTCCGAAAGTGAAATGTAATAGCAAAAACATCACATGTATGAGAGAAGAGGGAATTGTGTAGTTTCGTCAATTGCACTTACAAATCAAACACAACAGAAAAAGGGCATCATTTGAATTGGGAGCCTTCTCTCCACTAATTCCCCCTTTGAAAACAACACTTCCATTTACCTTTACAAACTTTTTCAATATCCATTACCTTTTTTTTAGTGCTACAAAACAAGACAAAACCAAACCAAACAAAAGTGGGCAGCCCATTTCCACTTTCTACTCCCCATGTCTCCATATTTCTTGTATGAATGTGGGTACAAAAATGCCACCAACTTTTCTCCTCTCCTTTCTTGTTCATAATTTTTAAAGTTTCATTTTTAGTTTTTAAAATATAATAAAAGTTTTATTTTTTTTATCATGGTTTACTTATTAAATACATTATTAATATTTAAAAATAAATAAAATGTTAAAATTATGAAAATTTACTTTTTTTTAATTTAAAATTTATAAAACAAGCAGCAAAAAATAGTTACTAAATCTATTTATGTTTATTTGTTCAATTAAAAAGAAAGAGCGAATATCAAAAACAATTACCAAACACGGTTATATTTTTATTGGTAGTATATAAAAACTTAACAACATTAATGAAACAACTAAAAGAACCTATCTCATATAGATTTTTATCTTCAAATAGTTGAACTCTTTAATCATAATAATAATAATAATAATAAGGGTATCTATTACATTGTTAGTTTACTTCAACCTTAAGTGCCAGTTCAATACCAGGGAAGATAGGGCAGATTAAGGCCACTTCAATACGAGCAGAACATTATAGCAACAGTCATTGGCAGATTATTTACTTAGCTTTTTTCCTAATTCTTTTCTATTTTTTTTCTCCAAGAATTGTATAGGGTAGGTTACTTTGTGGCATCGTTCTTTTATCGAAACAATATTACCAAACGGCCCAATATAAAAAACTTAATAATATTAACGAAACATTTTTTTTAACAAAAAACCCAGATAAAAGATAAGTTAAAAGAGTCAAATTTTCATAATAAATGGTCAAAGAAGAAATCATACATTGCAATAAGATATTTTTTTTAGTACAATATGTGGGAGGGTGAGTGGAAGTGGGGGATCATCGCTTTCGTTGCAGTAAGGAAATAGCTATACTATCATATCTAAAAACAAAAACAAAAAATTCAGAAAAATTTTCACTAAAAACCATATCTCATATAGATTTTTATCTTCATCAACATCATTAAAAAAAATCCTAATGCAACAAACTGAACAATTTTCTATATTGTAGGACAAACGGAAGGAAAAGACTAACCCATTTGGTGACTTTCGCTGTCACCCTCATTGAACCGACTTGAATCTGAACTACGATTCAGATCAAGTCTTACCGAAATCAAATTTCCTTTTCGTGACATATGTGCTCTGACTTCATCCCCTTTTTTTCCGGTCCAAATATTTGTTCTCAAAAGTCTTCATTTCCGTGTCGAAGCAAACTCTCCGAGCCCTTCCTTGAGAACAAATTAAAATAATCTTGCTCAATCGTCTCATACTCCTTTTCCTATTAAAATAATCTTCACATAAGCACAACACCCCAATATGTGAATTATCAAGTGGGTCTATATTGGGCTTCTTTTTACTCTTCCAAAGAGCCTCTGAAATTTTAAAACCAATGTTTCACAACTTTATGGTCTAAGCAAATATTTTTTTGAAATTAACATAACGGAACTCCTATGATAATAGTTGCATTTTTTATTTGCAACCAATTGCTCAACATATATATAAATGTATACCAGTTTTTGAAAAATTACAATTCAAACATTTATAATATAACATTAAAATTATACATTAAAAGTCTGCCTTCCCTAAAACACGTTGAAACTAAGATATTAATATTATTTATACATGTTCATATATTCGACATTCTAATATCATTTCTATAGTATTACAAAAAAAGAAAAAAATAATATATATCAAATACATACACCACACAATATCCTTAATATGAACATAATATTAACACTAATAATCTTTAACTAAATGTTTATTTATTAATTTAAATATTTGAAATTTTTTCAGAAATATTAACCGACATCTACATTTCCATTCCATCGATACTATTTTATTCCACAAAATTGAGAATTTAATATTTCATCGATATTTAGAAAAAATATTGGTTGAAAATAGTTAAAAAAAAATAGAAAATAAGTCTAGAAATTTAACATTATACTTTCAAAATTTACATACAATCCCAAAAGAAAAGATAATCAAACACATGACCCAAGAATGGAAGACAATAGTAGCAAACCACTTGTCTCTTTCACATTTCCATGTCAAAATTAAAATCAGACCAGACCAGACCAGACCAACCAAACCCAAACATATGATTTGGTCCGGTTTTCTAACATTGAATGTTCTGTTCAATTTCAGACCAACAAAGCCAAATAAAACTTGTGCAAGCCCAGGCCCAAGCCCATGTGTCAACATGCTACAGTAGAAAAGAATGACGCACTCAACCTGCCATCTCTTTTGACTATAAGCTTCTTTAAATTTTAAAATTAAAAAAATAAGTATAACAGAATATTACATTTTTCTAGTAAAACATGTTGAGTGGAAGATTCGAACTCACAATTAGAGGAAAGTCCTAAAGGAAGGTCCTAATTACCGTTGAGCTCTTTCTTTATTTATAAAAAAGTTTAATGTAAACAAATAGTAATAATAAGATGTTATCATCTATCTATGTCATTACAATTATTTTCTAATATTTAATTTTGAGATAGAGACTTGACTAAAAAAACCTTCACTAGACTTATAGGAAGTTATTACACTACGATAAAAATATAAACTATGCCATTTGGTTCTACTTTACCAAAAACCTTTCCAGAAATGAAGAAACTTTGCTAATCCAATAGCAACTTCTTATGCTGAGGTAACAAAAGGAAAACTTATAATTTTACCTTACTAAAAAGTTTCCACCATTTCTTGTTGATGAGGTCCTTACATTTTGGATTTACTTCCGTTAACAGTAAAAAAGTGTTAGCTAAAATTATTAGTAAAAATAGTTCAATAAGATGCAAGATCCAAACACAGAAGATGGCTAGAAAATAATAATCAATCTATAATTTCTCAACTACCTCCCAACAAGAAATAATTCAGAAGAAAGCTTCCCGAGATGAACAAACAAGCTGGCTAATGACGACTAAGAAAATGATGAACAAAAACGTGCAAAAGAAAGCAGCTCGATTCTGTGTGTGATCATCATCAGATAGATTCTAAGTAGAGGATTTTGAAAAGAAAAAGACTCAACGGTTTCTAAAATGGCCATCAAAGAGAGCATCGGATAGCAACTACAGAATTTGCCATTAGAATAGTGGATAAGCATCTTCAGAAAGATGCGCAGAAAAAGTTACTACATATAGAGAATAAAAAAGTACGCTCTGGTTCGGTCGGAAAAGAGCACGAAAAGATGCGACGACGGTGTGGCGCCAGACTGCAAAGTACTTCGATAAAGGAGATGCTAAAAGCAAAGAGAGGAGTACAGAAATAAAACATTTAAGAAAATAACAGAAGTGAATCATCGTTAATGGAATTTTACTTGAAACGCACTGTGATCCATAGAATATAATTGCATAGAAGAATCAGGAAAGCGAATGACGCAAAAGTGGACCACAGTAAACGCACTGCACAAACACGATTTGTTCAAATTCAGCAAGCACTTTTCAGTCATGTTTACCATTTAATTTTCAAACGAAATCAGGTGAGAAAATTAAACTGGCTCCGAACAGAGGCCAAATCAGCCGTCGAGAAACGCACATAGAAATCTCCGACGACAGCGAATCATCAACAATCCATCTCGATAATCAGAAACTCGTGCAGGATTAAGAAAAACAATCATAATCATTCGAAAAGGCATCAATATGCGACGAAATCGAGAGCTGAAGTGGATTAAACCTTCGCAATTTCGAAAACGAAGCTCTCCTAGCGGTGGATTTTCCAGATCTTAATAGTAAATCACCGGAACAAAAACAAAAACAAAAACAATCCAAACCTTGAAGAAACTGCATCGGGTGTAAAAGACGCGAGATCCATGCAATCTTCACCGCGGTCTCGGATTCAGTTGATGCAAGGCGGGATCCAATTCGCCCGATTTTCCCCTCCTACGGCAGGGAAATTAAAGAGCTGAATCAAACGAAGAGCAACAAAAAGCGAAGCAGTTCCCGACCTGCACCAAGCGAATTAGAGAGCGCCGATGACTGAACCAAAAAAACGGAAGCGCCCACCGCCATGAGAGAGAAGAAGAAAATGGAGAGAGAAAATAAAAATGGAGGGGAGAGAGAGAGAGAGATGGTTAGGCATTTAAGGCTAGTGGAACCCTATCGAGGAGTAGGGGTGGTGATTGCGTGATGCGAGGGTTATATATAGCGGGCACAGACGAACGTGATTGGGCCACGTGGCAGGACCGGTTCAGATCCGGGACGATTCAAGCGGCGCATGGCAGTAGTTTCTTTTTTTAGGGGTTTCTCAATTTCAAACCATGCGGGGGCCTCCGTTCCGCGTGAAGGAGTAACAGAAAAGGCATAGATTTTAGAAATATTACGAGAATGCCATTGAGAGTGTGGGAAGGATGGCAGAGGTCACAGTAAATGCACGTGCGCCTTTTGCTGCCACTTGCCAGCTCTCTCTCTTCTGTGTAATCTACCGAGGGAGGTGGGCTGGAACTTCCCCACAAAAAATAAAAATTGCAACGAAGGTTTTAAATGTCATCACGTTTATAATTTTAATGTAAAATTATTTGGTTGAAAAAAAAAACCAAATAATTTTAGATTAAATTATTATTTTAATATTTTAGCTATATTGTTTTTTTTAGTATAACCAGAATCGAACTCACATCTTCTTCATTTGAAAGATAGGGCAATCTATATTTACTTGGACTATCTTTGCTTTATTGTTTAGTTTTAATTTAATCTCCTTCCTTTTAAATTTTTTGTTTACTATGTCTAATTTAATTAAATGTTGTCCTAGAATTTAAAAGAATCTCTAAAAATATCTCACGAAGTGAAGTGGTAAAATTGATGCGGAATGACCTACCAATTTAAGAAATCCATGGATGATAAAATCAAATTTGTTGAAAATTTAATACATAAACCAACTAAAATCAAGATTTTGACAATGAAACTTCAAAGTTTTGTTTGAATCATATTGACTATATTTTTATTGTTGATTTTATAAGGACAAACCAACTAATTTGCCATCGGTTCGAATAATTTTTTTCGTCTTTTTAACTTGCATTATTGCTATCAACTTAAATGTTAAGTTAAACATATAGTTTCAAATGTCAAATTTATATTAAAGTTTCTAAAAACTCAAAAAAATATATTTTATAATCCTAGATTCATATTTCTGTCCCAGTTAGTAATAAAAATTATTTGATTTTAAATCCTTATGTTATAAATATTTTAGTTTAGTTTAAAAAATGTTATTTTTTATTTAATTCAATATTTAATGGTATTTAATATAAAAATTAATTTTCATCAATTTCTTACTTAAAAGAAGTAATATTTTGCTGCGGAAAATATTCTCTCGATATATAAAGAGAGAGAGAGAGGGTAGATTAAACAACAAATTCAAATATCTCAAATTTGATTTTATTATTATTTTTTTGAACCAACAGATCATACTTTAATAAGCAATTTATTTTTAATTAACACTTGAAATTGATAAAAAGGAGAAAATATTGGGTATTAAAAATAGAAAGAATCATTTTGGGGGGAATGTATAGAAATTGCAAACAGCTTTTGTCTAGCTAATGCTAGGTGATGTGTCCTAATCTTTTTCACTTTTTGGTTGTTGTTAAATTATTGATAATGTACCATTATCTTTGCTTCACATTAAAAATAAAATTATAAAAATTACTGCTTACACGTTGTAGCACAATAATATATATATATATATATATATATATATATATATATATATATCCACACACACACACACACTACTACAAAAAATATATATATATAATTTTTTTTTCAGAAAGAAAAAAAAAATATATATATATATATAATTTAAGAGCCCATTTAACATTTCCGTTTATTATCTTCAATTTTTCAGAAACATATGCATTTTTATAATTGTTCGTTTTTTTTTTATTTTTGATAGATTTTTACATAATTGTATATACATTTTGAAAATGACGAAATCAAGTTGTTGTTCGCATTTTTAGTTTCATATTAAAAAATCATAAATAAATGTATTATTTTATTATGATTGTCTTATGTTGATGAAAAATTTGACCCTTAAAGAATAAAGAGAATTGGACAGACATGCAAAATAGAAGGGTTATAAATTAGTGGTGCCAGCCACGCACTCCAATGTGGCACAGTTCGCCTTTTGGACCTCTCGGTCTCTATTCTTCTCTCACTTGGGCTCCGCTCGGACTTTCTCTTTGTTTGTGGGTTTATGTCTCTCCAACTTAATTATGCCATAACAACATAAGATGCATAATAAATATTAAAAATAAATATAACATAAAAAATAATATGTAATTTAGAAGATTAAACTTCATATAACAATTTAACTTTTAAAATTTAAATGTCCCCCAAATGTTTTTTCTCATTTAAAAAAGAAAACAGTTACCAAATACAATCATTTTTTATTTATTAAAAAAAAGACAAACAATCCACCAAAACAACAAAAGATAGATATAGAAACTAGATTTATTAATGCTTATAAAAAAATAATTTATTAATGTGCTATGCGTGATGAGGTTAAGTGAGGCTCACTAATCATCCTTGATGACAATAAATAGAAAAAAATTTAGAGCTTGACAAAAAATAAAAATAAAAAAATTTAAATATCAAAATAGATTAAAATTTCAAAGACCAAAATAGAATTTAAACATAATTAAACATATCCTTACCAATATTAATAAATATGATTCTTTTTAGTATAACAATGTAGAGGAGTGATTCGAACCACGGTTTTTTTTTATCAGTACCTTGACTAGTTCACCTAGGTTTAAGTTTACAATTAAATAAACCTATAAACTCAAAATAAAATTGTTTTGAACGTGGAGACAATAATTAAGGAAAAAAAAGTATATGTTCATGGTTGATCCAATATTTTACTTATAAAAATGTAGAACTAAGAAAAACATATCTTTATTTTTATTGGAGAGAGAAAGATAATCTGCACAATAAAAGTATTTTGTTACAAAATATCATTTCAAATTTTCAAAAGGTAATTACATTTAGAATATTAAACTCGCATTAATTAATATAATCAGCATTATAACTACAATTTAAAAAAGGTTGGTCATAAACTAACTTATATTTAAGTAGAATTCAATGTTACTTTTTTAAGTTAGTGGGTTCTAACCCAATTAAAAAAATATATATTAAATACCGTTTTGGTGATGTAATTTCAAGCTTGGTTCATTTTTTGTCCATGTATTTTTAATTTTTATTAATTTTAATCCGCATAGTTTCAACACATCCATTTTGGCGTCTATATTTTTGAAAAGCGATTATTTTGACCTCTATTTGCAAAATTTTAACTCGAATGTTATACACAATATAAATCTCTTAATACAAATTTATGTACAATTAAATAAATTTAATGAGTGAAGAAGCATCTTGTTAAAATTGTGATAGAAACAAAGAGATAAAAATGAAAATAAAAGACTAAAATGATCTACGACTTCAACCGACATTTTGAAAGTATAAAATATATAGATTAAAATATATAAAAGTTGAAAATAGGATAACCAAAATAATTATTTTAAGAGTTATATGAATTAAAATGAACCAAAATTAAGAGTATAATGACCAAAATATTATTTAAAAAAAAAAATTTATATATAGAGTTTTATTAAACTATAAACATAAAATAAAGAATAAACATAGCAACCAGAATAAAAAGTGAGATATGTTCATAGGAGGCAAAATATTATGATTATAAAAATGTATAATTAAGAAAAGACAAACAGCAAACAAACGATCTTTTTTATTTTATTTATTTATT